TTGGGTTGCGATTAGTACTGACGTCCTCGTCGTGCAACCTGGGTACTAGTATATCCTAGTAGCGAACAAGTACTATTTTCCAATCAGTTAATTTCCTGATCCAGATTTCTCGTTATAATTTTAATTTTGTATTTATTTAATAAAGATTTTTTTCAACATTTTACTTTGAATTTGAATATTTTAAAGCATTTTTTGTCAAAAAATTAAACTTCATTTTACTCTCTCTCCGCTATTAAATAAAATGAACCTAGTAAAAAGAGACATATAGGCAATAAAATGATGCTACGAAATTAGTTATAGCAATCTTTTTAAATACAATTTTTTATTACGTAAAGGAGGCGAATTGCAAAAAGATTCTGCACTTATTTATTATAGTTTTATTGGCCGAAATTAAAATGTAATTGCTGAACCGGAACCCGATTATCATTTGATCCGTTCACTTTTTTTTTTTGTTTGCCACTTCACGACGAATAATGTAAGTTAAGTTAAATAACAACCTTTAGTTTACATATAAACGGCTATAACTTTTTATTTTTATAATAGGGACGTTACGTACAACTTGTAATGGGTCCTGCCGGGACAGGAAAGGTTAGATATGATAATACTTGAACTTTTTTTTAATTTTGTTTGGACTTTATTCTTAAATTTGAAAATTTGACGTATAGTCCACTTATTGCGCTACAATGATGACTCATTGTCAAAATATTGGTCGTTCCGTACATTTGATGAACCTTGATCCAGCAGCTGATAAATTCTGAGTATAAACCTTCGATTGGTTAGTATACTTTTGATTTATCAAATTTATAAAAGTAATTCAATTTTTAATGATTTATATTAAATCCTTAGATATTCGAGATCTAATTACTTTAGAAGATGTTATGGAAGAATTACGATATGGTCCCTATGGGAGGATTAATATATTGTCTGGAGTAAGTATTACGATTATAAGGTAAATTGATTTTTCGTCAATAAATATTTATAATACAATTATTTTAAATCAAAGATTCTTATTAAATAAGATGGATTGGATTGGCTGGAAGAAGAATTGGGAGAATATGAAGATGATTATTTGATCATTGATTGTCCAGGTATGGCCTAATTCACGTATATAAGCACGATGAATCACATTGATTTAAAAATTCTACCTTATACTTCATTTATAAGGGCCATATCGAACTTTACACTCACTTTCCAATTATGAGACGAATTTGTGACTGTTTACAACGAATGCATTTTCGCATTTGTGGGGTGTATTTGTTGGAAAGTCAGTTTATTGAAGATAATTCGATATTCTTTGCTGGTATTAAGTGCCATGTCAGCAATGATAAGTTTAGATCTTTTGGGTAAAGTTAAGAGAAAGGAACTAGAGTTTACTACATTATATATATGTTCTACTTATACCATCATTTTATCTTATCTTCATGGTTCTTCAGGTATTTTTGATCCCGACACTTCATTATTAATGATCAAGTTTTTTATTTTTATTTTTATTATATAATTGGTTTTCGTTTCTTTTTGCAGATTGATGATTATAACGTGGTCAGTTTTATGTCGTTGAATATTACAAATGAAAGTTCTATAACAATGATATTGTCATATGTTGATGATTCACTTCAATTCGAAGAAGATCAAGAACAAAAAGAACCAAAGATATGAATCATATATTTTATATTTATTTATTGATTATTTTATCTGATATTTTTCTTGATATTTGTTTAGGATATGTAAAAATGCATCTATAGCTTCAGAAACATTTTATACTACCAAATTTTTTTTAGTAAAACTGAAGTTACAGAGTTGTTTTACTAAGTTTTTTAGTAAAACTAAAGCTGCAGAGCTATTATATTAAGTTTTCTAGTAAAAAATGAAGCTATAGAGCTATCTTACTAAATTTCTTAGTAAAATTGAAGCTATAAAGTTGTTTTACTAAATTTACTTAGTAAAACTAAAATCACAGAATTATTTTACTAATTTTCTTAGTATAACTGAAGATGCAGTGTTATTTTATAAGTTTTTTTTAGTAAAAATTACTTATTATTAAACTTACTTTGTAAAAGTTATCTTTGAAATTTTTTAATACATATTAATAATAATTTTCTTAATTAAATTTTTAGAATAACTTTATTTTAATATATAATTATATAAAATTATATAATTTTTATATTCAATTCAATTCAATTTATTTAAATTTGATAAATATAATTCATTTTGATTCTATTAATCAATATATTCAATTTAATTTAATTTAATTCAATTTAAAAAAATAAATCAATTACAAATTGTTTTAATATTTGATTCGACTTAATTTTGAAGAGTATAGTTGTTTATATGAATGATAATAGCTTCTATAACAAAAGTTGTATAAGGTTACTTCATTTTCAAACTACTCTGATAACAGATAATAGTAGTAAGTAACTTGATATAATAAAATGATTAAGTTTAAAACTTATATTAAGGGGCTAGTCTATAATAAACAAGTATTACATTATTTGCAAAAAGGTCTATTTTTAATATAAATATGATAAATCAATAGTAGATTATTGTATAATTTGAATTAAATATAATTATAGATTATAGTTAATTAATATTATACTATCTTTAATATCTTATGTTTATAACTTTCATAGATTAAAGTTTGAATTCAATTTCTAAATTATTTAATAGTATTAAAAGATTATTTAGTTTGATAAATCTCAATATAGGATTTGCTTGATTATTTTATCTAGTTATAATAGCTAAATTCTAATAATACTGGTTACTATAAGTAGGTAGATAATTTATTTAAACTTAAAGTCTTTTTCCAATATGATACCTGTTAGATTAGTAAAATAGCAATAATAGATAGGTCTTAAAAAATAATTATAAAACTTTAGACTTGTTATAATTTGTAAGCTTGAGAGTTTTTAGCAAATAGATTATTAATACAGTAAAGCCTCTTTAAATACATATTTTGAGATTATAATAAAAATTTAAAAAATATGTATTTAAAGAGAATATGCATTTAAAAGAAAATTTTATATAATTTTTATATAATTGAAGCTGTATAAAATATGCATTTATAGAAAAAATATATATGAGAGCTTTGCAGTAGAAAGGGAGGAAACTCTAAAAAAATTTTTTTTTGAGTTAATATTAAATCTGAACTTAGTTTACTAAAAAAATCATAATTAGCTTAGAAAGTAAAATTTTAATTTTTTTAAAATTTCCTCCCTTTCTACTGCAAAGTTCCCATATGTGCATTTAAGAAAAATACATTTAAAAAAGTCTCACTGTATAACTTTATGAAATATTATATCATTTTAGAATAAAAAAATTTAAATTTTATATACTAAATATACTAATAAAAATTTTTTTTATGAAAAAACAGTTAAATTTATATTATTAAACTTAATAATTTTAATAAAATTTTATCTTATATATAAAAATATATTATATAAGCATTTTGCAGTAAAATATGTGAATAAAGATGATTTTCATAATTAGTTTTAAATTTTATTTGAGTTGTAATCTAATTGTGATATTAATAAATTTAATTGTGACAGTTACAACATTTTTTGGTAATTACAATGCTATCTTTAAATATGAAACTCATAAAAATTAAATTTTATTTTAAATTAAATATGATATTTTAGTAAAATAAATTAAGATTTAATATTAATTCAAACAATTTTTTTTATAGTTTAATCTCTTTCTATTATAAAGCTTCTATATATAATTTTAAATTCTATTATTTAATAAAAAATATATCTATAATAAAGTAATTATAATAAATTCAAATTATATTAATTTAAATTATATATAATGATATATTAAATAAATATATTTTTTTATTATAAAATTTAGAAATGTTAATTTACTCAAATGATTCAGCTTAAGTTCAGCTTATACTGCTTTAAATTAGAAGCAAGCTAAACTTTTTTAAGAAAATAAACTTCTGAGCAATGTAGCTTGCTGTTTAAATTAAGTACTTATACATTAAATAGTTAGTCTTAATTGCTTAAATGAGTTAGTTCAAATCTGCTTATTATTTATCTATTAAATATCTTTAATTATTATGATATCTATATTACAATTAAGAATTAAAAGTCTGAAATATCTGATAAAAGAAGATATTTTGGTTAAACATACTTAAATAAACACACTTGAATTAAACTATATATACTTTTTGAAGTATGATTGAAACTCAAATTAATAAGATATTAAATTAACTTAAAGTATATTTATTTAGAACATATATTAAACTTGTTTATGAAAGTTTGTGTCCAAACTCAGTTAAGCATATTTTATTGAAGCAATTTAACATCCCTAATTAAATTACTTAAATAATGAATAGTTAATATAATTGAATTATATAATATTATATTAAAAATGCTTAGATTATATGGTTAGTACGTACAAAAATCAGGTTTTAATCATATGAATTACATAGTCCTGCAGCATGATTTTCATACGTATTAACCTATATGATTATATAATAATCTGTTATAACGTATCATATCTATCATATTTTATTTAGTACTATTTAATCTAGAAACTAAGTTTTTTTAGAATATAAAAACTTATTTGTTACTTATTATTTGTCACAGATAATATTCTCAACTTATGATATAATATTAAGGTTAAATAAGTTAAGATTGATTTACTTAATATTAGAAATTAGGATTAGAAGTTAAAATCAAAATATTTTTAATAAAGTAAAATCATATGTTATTATAATATCATATTATCTAATGATATTAACTATTTATTATAATTAAAAATATTTATTATTATTATATAATATAAAAAATTTGTTTAAAAATCAGATTCTAAAAATTTTTTTAATAAAATTTTAATTTTCCTAATAATCCAATCTTTCATATATTTATATTATCAAAAAATGAACTAATAATTAATTATATTCTAATAGTATATTTAATACTTTAATTATTATGCATAATTTTTCAAATTATTATATACTATAAAAATACTATTTATTTTAAACTGTTGATTTGCATTTGTTAAATATATATTTAGAATATTATTATAATTTTATTTAAATAAATAAATAACAATTTAAATAAATATAAAAAATGTAAACTCTTTCTCAAACCAACTAAAAACAAATAAAAAAAATTGATAAAACTAAGAAAATGCTTATTATAAGAGCTATGATTTCAAAGAAATTACTTTTACAAATGTACCAAAAACTAAAAAGAACTAATTCTACAAATGACACTTAAGCTACCATTTCCTTTACTAAAACAACTAATACTAGTGAACAAACTTCTTCTATAAAAAAACAAAAAATTTTTCAACTTTCAAACAAACAAACTCAATAAGATAACATTTAAAATATACAGTCAACCCTTGATATAACGAATTTTATGTCCTGAACTTCAACTTCACTATAGAGCTATAGTGAATTTTTTAAAGAATTTGATTGGCTAGTTCGTTATAACGAGGGTAAATTTAATATAGTTGTCCAAAAAATTCGTTATATAAAAATTCGCTATAGAGAGGTATGACTGTAGTATTAGGATAAGATACAACTCTTCTGATAAATACAATAATTGCTAACATTTTTGCTGAAACTGATAAAACTACTACAAAAATAGAAGTTGACTCAATTGTCAACCAAGTTCTTCAATCTTCTCCTATCACTTCTAAACAAACTACCAATAAATCTATGCATGCTCATAATCTCACTAATAATTCATAAGTAATGCTACCTATCTATATTGTTTCTTCTTTCAAAGGCAAAGAAAAAATAAACTTAGTCTAATTTTTAAATGAAAGACTCAGATATAACATCACATGACCAAAATGCTAATGATCAACCTTTCAATATTATCACTACCCTCACATGATTTTTTGTGACTAACTTAATCTCAAATATAAAAAGCAAAACCATTGCTGAAAAATATATAATATAAATTTCCTTTTTATCCTTTATAATAGATTTTAAAGCTCAATCTATTTTTCCAAAAATAGAAAGTTCTTTATCTACTTTAACTTCTTAGATTTACGTATACAGTAAATAAAATGCATAAAACATAACATAACCCTATTTTTCTTATTATTAATCCTATGGTGAAATAACAAAATTAGATGCTGAAAAAGAAAGAACTATCAAAATTGTAGACATTTTCTTATTTGTTAAGTTTAACGTAATAAAAAACTTTTTTGTTAAATATGATGTGATCACCTGATTTTTTATGATCATTTATGGACTATAACAAATAGCTTTTATCATTTATGAATCAAAAGAATCTATTATCTCATTCTATGATTATATCTGGTCTATTCCTTTTTTAGAATTCACTTTATGAGTTAAATCTACTGATCTTAATCCATTCAACTACATTTCGTCTACAATTTGAATTAAATCTAATTGATCTGCTCTTTAACACAAACTAATATCAACTGTTAGACTTTCTCATTCATATTAAGACTATGACACATTTTATTTCACATAACCAAAATTATCATTTTCAATCTTATGCTTTCATTGCTTTCATTAACCTTAGATCAGCTGATAATTTAGATGCTACAACTTATAGCTGCTTAACTTCAAAAGTTTAAAGGCAAAGTTCTCTATTGAATGTCTCTATACTTCAAACATTACTACTATTGTGACTCTCCTGAACATGAAATTAAGGATTACTCTAATTGCAAACCAGTTAATTCTTTCAAATTTAAATATGATAGGTTTAAACCTGAGTAATATAAACCTTCAAGATCCTATACATAAACTGTCTAATGATCACTTAAGCCTGAACTATAAGACACCAATGACAAAAACAAAACTGGTCAAGTCTTTTTTCCTAATTTAGCTGATGCTCTCAAGGTTACTATAGCCTAAATTGATCAAATAGAAAACAAACTTCTCACTTTAACTAACAAACTTATCTATCTTAAAAATGACATTATTAGAATTGATAATAATCAAGAAGATATTAACTTTTATCTCTCTCATTTAGAAAAAGTTAACAATATTATTAATTTTTCAAACAATTAAGAACTCAATGCTACCTTTTTTAAGAATAGTTTATTTCTATTATTTGATTTTACTAGCACTGATGATTTATTAATAAACAATTTTAACTCTAAACAAGAACACTTTTCAAATGAAACTAATTACTAAACTGTTAGATAATTCTCATTTAAATCACATCAATCATGTAGAATCTTTTATCAATTATATTAAAGCTGAATTACACAGTCTTGTCTCTATCTTGCATTCACTTTTGCTAACACAAAATATTAACCAATAATAGTACAAAATTCTAATCAAATAATAGTACTGTGTTTACTTTTCCTATTTATATTAATACTAAGAATAATAACTTTCTTTCAAACACAAATTTTTTTCAATTGATTACAGATCCAAATTTATTTTTATTCATCACTCATAACGTTTGAAGTTGTTTTTCTGAACAAAAGTTATGACAAATCAAATCATTTTACAATTCATGTAACTTTGATATTCTTAGTTTTAGTAAGACTCATCTAATTTCGATCTAATAATTCTATTTATCAAAAAATTTAAAACAAATCATATATAATTTCTGTTTTATTTGTTCAATTCTAAACCTAATTGTTAAGGCATTAGTTTTATTGTTAAAAACTATATCTATGATCATATCACTTTTGAACAATCATTCTTTGATTGTATTGCACTAATTGACTTTCATTTCAAAAACTACATAAAACTTTATATCATCCAGATTTATCTTTTTGCTTATATTGCTGATAAAGAATACAAACTAAGACTTGTTATTGAAAAAAATCATTAACCTCATTATGGAAGTACTCAACAAATCTTTTTATATCATTATCATTATTATCATGAGTGACTTCAATATTGACATTTATAAAAAAAGAAACTTAATAGTTATTTATAAATAAATTGATTAATCTTAATATGCTTCATACTATTACCTTTTTTCAACCCTAACACTTCCATTCTACATACCTTCACTTTATCTTCCTATCAATCTACTTCACATTTTAATTACATTTTTATTTTCTTCTCTTTATTATATGATCTTACTTCATACAAAATTCTTAATGACTTTACTATTATTCATCATTTAGATTATCTGCCTATTCATATTACTATTTACAAATATAATTTGTTCATTCAAACTTTGTTGGCATATTGCAAATAATACAAAATTGCAAAAACCTCTTTTTGCTATAACAAGACTTTCTTATTACAATAGAACTTTTTTTCAGATTATATCGATGAAATAATTAGATATTTTTTCACTTATAAGTAATATATTTTTACTGATTTTAGTGTTAATCAAATTATTCTGAATAATGTATGAGAATTTTTATCTTTGACCATTATAACCACTGTCAATAAATACCTTTCTAAAGTCATTTCCTCTATATTTTACAAACCTTTATACTCTTGATAATACTTCTTTACATAAATAGATAAAGAATATTTACAAAATTTATTATGTTATTAAATTATTTTTAGAAAAACATTTTTCAGCTTCCTTTTCTTTTGCTATATTTCTGCTTTTTTTGAATAAATACCAATATGTCTTAAAAACTTTATGTGATCATTATAATTAGAAACTCTTTAATATCAATGAGATATTTTTGGCTATTTGTGTAAATTAAAAAAATCAATTATTAGACCATTAAAAACTAAACAATGTATTTTTTTAAAGAGAAAAAACGTTAATATTAAAGAATTCATCAAATACATATGAATAACCTCAAAGTTACCTTATTAAAAATAATTGACCTTTATCTCAGATGTGTATCTAAAACTATAGTATTAAGCTGAGTTCTCTTACAGGACTCCTTTGATTTTAATAAATTGCACTTAAAACTAGATTTTAATAAAATTAAATTATATATTACATCCTATTTTCAAATTGTCACTGATTCAACCAATCAAAAATGTTCTGATTGATCTTCTCCTTCTTTTTCCACTTTTTGAATACAATGGAAATAATTTTATGAACTATTAGATTACATCAATAATAGCATATATCAAGATATATTAGATAATCCTACTTATGATAATTGGATGAATATTATCAAGAATTACTAAATGACAAAGCATCAGAGTCTTCCAAAATTTCTAATGAAATACTTAAATATTTGGATTCCTTAGCATATAAATTTTTATAAAAATTATATGTGTTTGTTTTAAACTTAATTTTACTTTTGTAAAATAGAAGATTACCTGTGTATATCCTATTTTGAAGCCTAAACTCTTCAATTGTAATCTTAATAATACTCATCCGATTATATTGCTTGAAATTGTTAGAAAAGTATTTATCAAGATTATTAACAAAAGAATTTAAGATATTTTTCTCAAACAAACAACTCTCTCAAGTTGGTCTTCCTTATCAATCAATTACCAAACATTTATATCTTATCAATAATATATTAGAATATCATTGACAAAAAATCAAATCAGAAAAATACAAAAATGATGATCTACTTATATTATTTCAAGACATGCTATGCTTAAAGCCTTTAATTGAATTAATATTTATATATTACAAAAAGCAATAACCAGATTAAAAATTCCACATTAACAATCATTTTAATCTCTGAATTTTTTCTTAATCGTAAAAATTCTGTTTTATTACATTTGCTAATACTGAACTTTATGATATTCTAGTTGGTATTGATCAAGGTAAGGTTATTTCCCTGCTTCTCTAGGTTATCTATTATAACCCCTTGCTAGCTCGTATTCAACAAACTAATTTAGATTATAAGATAGAAGCTACTTGATAGCCTGATATTAATAAATCTGATGAGATTACTCTTTTTGTATACATTTCAAATGCTACATATATAAATAATACTGTTTGGATTACTAATAGTTATAAAAAGCTTTTAAATATTTTGGATATATTTCACATTTTTTTCAGTTATTATTTCATCTTAAGTATAAACTGCTAACTTGATATTTCACAGTTCTGTAGATAATATTATTTACTTTATTCTCACATTATAATCAAATGAATCTACTTGATATTTAGGTATCTGAATCTTTGCAGTTTACAACAAATTATTTGTAAAACAACAGATTCATAATGAGATATCTGTCTTTTATAACAAAATTATATAAAAATCTTTAACTGATAAATAGTTGATCTATCTTAATAATATGTCTTTATTCTGAAATTAGAATACCACTCACAATTGATTGTCTTATTTTATGAGAAAATGGAATTCTGTTTAAACTAGCTTGTAAATTACACAAATAAAATTATGTTTGAATTCAACATTTCCTACTTGTACTTTGAGCAGCAAACTCATTTATAACTTTAATGATATAATTTGAACGTCATATAATCTAAAATTCAAATAATTTATCAATATTATTAATTTAGATTCTGTTAACTTGATACTTGACTTTATTATTACTATCAGATTAAAATAAATCCAACAAACCTTTTGGCTTTCAGATAATCTACTTTTAACCTGATCTAAATTCAAAAGAAATTTAAAATATGACAATTTTTTTTCTAATATAATTACTTTATATTTTGGCTTGCAGTTTCATTTTATTACTAATTACATAATTGTATCTGTTTTTACATTCAAAGAGGCTTAATTCCTTTGTTTGATTTTATTCCTTAGCATTTACAATGGATTACAACTCTCAAAAATTTAACTTAATGTATCTTAATCAGTTAACAACTGCAGAATCTTTTCTAATTGGATTTCATGATCTTTATATAAAAATTTTTTTTAATAACTCTTCTAGGATAGCTGGTAAAGTTTTCAGCTAGGTTTTGATCCTATAACAAAAAGTTTTACAAAATCCCATTTATTCTAACCAATTAAAAAATTAAATATTATTCTAACCCTTCAGACTTATCAGATTATGATATCGATCCTTTTACTGATAATTCTGCAAAATCTAATTGGATAATTATGTAGATTCTTCTTGACAATAATATATATCATTTTCCAGTTCTATCTTTGAAAAAGCTATTAAAATTGACTCACCTACTCTTCTTTGTTTGGTTTAACTCTTATTGGTTTCTTTTACCTTCTACTTATTTTATTAGTTTTGCTTTAACTTTAATTCACTCTTCTTTAAACTTATCATTTACCTCTCATCTGTGCCAATTCTACTAATGCTAAAATTTTCACTCTTCTTACTACTTTGTTTTTCTATCCTTACTTCTCTTCAATTAAGATATTTACTGATAGTCTTGTTATAATTCAAACTTTTAATCACATTTCTAACACTTATCTTTATAACTATTCATCACTTCTTTTCAAAACTCTCTTTTATATTTATTGTATTTTATTTTCAAACTCATTGAGTAACATAATTTGTTTTTTTCTTTAGTAAATATGAAAGCACACTTAGATGATTCTTATAATGATAAAGTCAATCAATTAGCAAAGTTTTTACTCCACTCAATTCCTTTGTAACTTAGTTTTTTTTTCATTTTATATCTATTTCATATTCCTATATTTAATGACCTTTCTATTAACACTGCAATTAGACTTTTTTTTCATCAATTAGTTTCACTAGTGTTAATTTTGATGATATTATCGATTTGATGAAAGAAATTTTACAAATAAAAACTGAAAATAAATGCTGTTTGAAAAATGTACAAAAAAAAGCTAAAAATCTACTCAATTCTCTGCCAGTATTCAAAGGTTGGCCAGAAATTCAAAAAATATTAAAAGACCAAGATCTGAAATTTAAACACTACTCAATTCTCTGCCAGTACTCAAAGGTCAACCAGAAATTCAAAAACTATTAAAAAGACCAAGATCTGAAATTTAAACAAGTAAGTTATTTAAGTTTGCTTGTCAAAATATAAAATAAAATATTAAACTACCATATTACTGTAGTTCTTATACGATACCAACGTTTGTATTATCGTACATCATTGAAGATAAATCTACCAAAGTTCAATTAAGCAATGCTAAGTATTGAGAAGTATATTTCGCTAGCAAAATTATATCTCTGAACCTGATGTATTACTATAGTGAAAAGTAAAGATGGCATTGTAATTAAGGAGTTGCAATTCGATAAGTTGCAACTTGGGTTGCAATTGGTTGCAACTCCTTGCAAAATTTATTTTAATATAAAAATTTATAAATAGTTGCAACTCAATGAGTTGCACCTTAAGTTGCAACTAGCTAAAAATTTTAAAATTAATTACAGCTCCATCTTTAGTGAAAAGTGACTATATAGAAAGTTTTTTATGGTATTACTAAGTATTGGTTCTAAAGGGTTGTGACTATAAAAACATTGTGATTATAGAAGGGGGTTTGTATATAGTGTTAATTGGATCTGGTTTTATGAAAGGTGTGTTTATAACGGAGAATTTATATGATGTGATAGTATAGGGGGGACTGTAGAGAAGTCGACTGTATGGACGTAAAGATTTCACAGATGAGAAGAAACTAAACAAGAGTTTTCAAAATTGGATAGATTGATACACCACCTGAATAAAATATTCATTCAACAATACTTCAATAATAACTGTCAAAAGATTCATGATGAAAAATTGGAAAAGTTAGATTGTAACATTCAATTTATAAAAAAATAATACGTATGCATTCCAGAGATCTTGCAGAACAACTCAAAATAAACACTTCATTTCCTTTATTTTGAGACGTTTTTAAATCAGATCACATGGTAGTTATTTGGTAAGTCTTTTTTTTATTTTTTTTTTTTGATAATTATACTGATTTTTGATATTGAACAACTTCTTTCATATGTAGGGAGAGAAACAAGCTTTAGAAAAGAGAACCAACCCCATTTGAAAAGGCACGGATTGACAGGAAAATCGATATGAAGGGTTTCCTAATCAAGACACCAAACAAGTTGAAAGTAATTTATGGTGAGGTTTCAGGAGGGCTAGGACAATTTGGGCCTTCAGCTAATCACAAAAGACGATTCCTCAATAAAGTGGGAAAGTCTCAACGGTTTGCTAAAGAAATGTAGGATAAACAACGTATGAACATAGTTGTTTACGGTTGGCTCCAAGTCGGTAAGTTCTAATTGCAGTTATTTTAATTTGCATGGTTTTTAATTAAATTTTTATGTACTGAACAATATAGGGCTAGAACTTAGTTTCTACGCTATTGATTGGTCTTTACAGATTCGGGTTTCTCGATCGGTGTTGATTGCAAGATTATAGAGGATGCATATTGCATCCTAAAAACACTTGAAGTAATTCTTTTTGTTCACAGTTTTAAACTAAAGAAAATCTAACATTTTTCATGATTAATATAGACTAAGTTATAACAAACTGAAAATGGCGGTTAGATAATTATTATTTCAAAAGCAAACACCGAATCGCAACTGAAAATGAATCAAAGCTAAATGTAAACCGTAGTAGTACTCCGATTTTGCAAAACCTCTCTAAATGCACCCTCCCTAAATGCACGCATTATATATTTTTTCTATAAATGCATACTTCACACAGCCCCAAGTATATAAAGATCATACAAAATTTCTCTCTTTAAATCCACACTCTCTTTAAATGCACATTTTTTCAAATTTTCACTATTGTCCCAAGGGGGATACATTTAGAGAGGTCTTACTATAGATAAATTTTATAATAATAAACACAATATAATATAAATCAATCGAAAACATTCTTTATTATATATTAATACATGAAAAAAGAGCCAAGAAACACGTTTACCTACGTATATTAGTAAAAAATGGTAGTCAAATCAAAATATCGATGATTGGTTGGTTTTTTTTTTTTTGTCCGATTAAGAGTTGTTTTAAGATTTTTTTTTTTTGTATTGTATTTAAAAAAAAATGAATGATCATTTAGAAATTGATAATTTATACATTGGATTCGATTTATCAACTCAACAATTGAAACTCACAGTTATTGACGATAATTATAAACTTTTCTTCGAAGAGACTGTTCATTTTGATAAGGAATTATCACATTATGGGTACATTCATTATAATAAAATCAATTAAAACTTTTAAAACTTTAATCAATTTTAATTTATCGATTTTTAACTTTAAAAACTTAGAACTCGTAACGGTGTTGTCTTGAATGGAGAGACTGTGACATGTCCAACATTATTGTGGGTAGAATCATTAGATAAACTTCTTCAAAAGCTCAAAATTAATAAATTTCCGTTTCATAAAGTTCGAGTGATATCTGGAGCTGCTCAAGTTAGTTGTTATCTTCAATTTACGTGTTATTATTTATTCAATGGATTCATTAATTCCTATTAAAAAGTAGCAACATGGAAGCATTTATTGGTCGCATAACGCGTTGTCGTTATTATCCTCACTCGACCCATCTCAACCTTTAATACATCAATTAAAAAACGCGTTTTCAATTCAACAATCTCCAACTTGGCAAGATTCAAGTACATCAGAACAATGTGAAGAATTAGAAAAATTAATAGGTGGAGCAGAAGTCTTAGTAAATTTAACGGGATCAAAGGCATATGAAAGGTTTACTGGGAATCAAATTTTAAAGGTAATTTTGTGTTTTTTTTTATCTTTTTGTAACATATAATATAAATATATATATATATATTTATTAAATAATATATTTCTTAAGATTTGTAAGAAAGATCCAATCGCATTTTCTCAAACCTCACGAATTTCTTTAGTTAGTTCATTTCTCGCCACTTTATTTCTCGGTCATTATGCACCTATAGACATTTCAGATGGTTCAGGAATGAATTTATTAAATATTCATACTAAACAATGGGAAGATAAGTTATTAGATATTTGTGGTGATGGTGCTGGAAGAGAATTAAAAGAAAAACTTGGTGAACCTGAAATCGAAGGAATAAAAATTTTAGGGAACGTGAATGAATATTTCGTTAAAAGATATGGATTTAATAAAGGTAATTGTTTTATATTCAAAAATATTATCGTGTTTATTATTTTGAACTGACCTAAATTTATTTCACAATATATCTAGATTGTAAAATTATTCCATTCACTGGTGATAATCCGGCTACAATAATATCTCTTAGTATTAAACCCGGTGATGTTATAATATCCCTTGGCACTTCGGATACAGTTCTAATTTATACTTGTAAGCCATTTCCGTCATTAGATTCTCATACATTATGTCATCCGTTCATACCGAATTCCTATTTTACAATGTTATGCCGTAAAAATGGAAGTTTAACACGTGAATATATACGCTATATTTATGCTAAAGATGAAGATAACGAGTCATGGAAGACATTTAACAACATCTTAAATAAGACTAGACCTATTAAATCAAAAATAGGATTTTATTTTCTTTTACAAGAAATCATTCCGTTTGCTAAAGGAATCTTTAGATTTGATAATAAAAAACTAGTAGAAGAATTTGAAGATGATCCAAATTACAATGTAAGAGCTATTATTGAATCACAATTTCTTTCAATGAAATTAAGAATAAATAAATTAATAAATGATTCTGAGAATAAAGAAAAAATCCAAAGATTAATCGTTGTAGGAGGTGCAAGTAATAATAATGAAATATTAAAAATTTTAGCAGATGTTTTTGGAATTAAAGTTTGGAGAAGTCAAAGCGAAAGGAAAGGAAGAATTTCAGCTTCTATGGGATCTGCTATAAAAGCTAGATTGGCTATTTTCAAACAAGAAATTAAAAGTATAGATAATTGGAATTATAATGAAATCGAAGAAAATTATTCACTTATCGCTAGCCCTGACTTGAATAATACAAAGATTTATGAAACTATGGTTGAAAATTATCAAGAAATGGAAAAGTTGGTGATTAAATAAATATTGCTCTTTTTTTATATATATAATTATAAATAAAATACATTTAAATTTTTATCTTATTACACAAAATTCAATATCTTTTCATGATTCGCTAAATGGTTGAAAAGTTGATAAATAACAAATCAGCGAAGCAAATAAATAAAACAAAATCTATTTCTGTTATTTGGTTAAAAATTTACCCAATATATATATATATTATCAAATATTAATACAAAAGATAAATCAAATAATCAAATTCAATTGAAACCCCATACTTCAAACCCCATGCATTCGAATTCGGGAGTTGAAGACAAGATTTCATTCTCAAAAGTGTCACATCTTGCTGATGATCCTCTTTCCAAATCTGAATCCATCCATAAACCAACCCTTCCATCACTGAATAAAATAAAATAATTTTTTTTTGTTAGTTATAGAAAGAAATTTCAGTAAAAAATTCATGAAGTTTATACTTAACCCTCCACCAATTGCCAAATAATCATGCTCGCTCAATATCATGTATTCATTTCTTCCGGTCCATGAATAAGAATTGATTTTTGGTAGAAATGTATCCTTTTCTTTTGGACGTATATGTTTCCACAGAAAGCTAAAAAATTACCAAGAAAATATAAAATAACTTCACATTTGGTAAAAGAACGCGAAATTTGCTTTACCATTCTCCAGTTCCATAATAAGAAGGACGCGGTTTTAGCGATTCGCTGACAAACGCACCAAAAACCTACATAACAAAACAAAGTTATCAAAAAAAATATAATATAATTAAAAGGATTTAATTTATCAACCTGTTCATTCATATCTTTGACTGCCACTATTAAAGGTCCTTTGTCTTTTACTTTAAAATACATGGTAGTCATACTTGTACCATCCTGATCAAGGCTATATAATAAATTCCACGTTGGAAATAATCGTACACGTCTTGGAAGTAGTTGACGTATCTAAAATTTTAGCGCATTGAATAATAATCGATTTATTGGAATCATGAAAAAAAAAAAAATTTAATTTACTTGTTCAGCCATATCGATACTTAGTACAGGCTCAGTATCTGAATTTCTGCCACGAAGTTCAATAGGAGCCATCAAAATTTTTTTTGGTTCTGGAACCGTTATTTCTTCGTCTCGTGTCTCACTAGGGGTGTTATTTATATTCGTGTTTTTATCTAAATTACCTACAAAAATGCTGGTAATACTTGCAGGAACTTTTTTAGATTGTAAACCTTTAAATTTTGTTGTTAATAAATTAATTGAACTATCATCGTTTTTAGGGACCATAGTAGGTACAGTTCGCGAAGAAGAACTTTTGGATCGCCAAGAGAACGAACCAAATTTATTAACAAAAGACGTGGTAAAACTAAAATATTCTTCCTCGGGTGGTGAGAAACTGTTACATAGAACAGGAGAATTATTCAGTGAAATCGTATAATTTTCTCTACCAACCAAGTCCCAAAAGAGAGTGGTGGAACTTTTATCATATAAAGACTCCGTGGTATGTCTCCTATTGATATTTAGGCGATCTTTTAACGTAGACTCTTGAGTATAAAAAACGGACTGAGCTCTACGATGATTAGGTTTTTGATTAATATTTTTAAAATCAATCAAAGATGGCGAAGATGATGATGGTAAGGTTTTTGATTTATATAAATTATCAGACATTGTTTTAATTTTAGGATACTTAAAATTTTAAATACTTAAAAATTTAAATACTATTTAAATAACTATTATTATATTAATCTTAACTTAATTTTTACTTAAAATTTAATTCCCACGATATGACAATCAAATGTAACTATGTAACAAATATGACATATTGACTAACTAATTATCGGACATTTGCCGGCTAAAATTCATCAAAGTCTCAAGCTAATGTGGTTATATAATAGTAAATACAAAAGTTTATCGACAAATACAGTGAGTGATCGCTTCGTTATAAGATTTTTTAATATCGTTAAATTAATTATCATACAATAAATATAATTATTTAATATTAAGCCCCGGTCTTCCCTTATTATATATTCAAATTAAATTTGACACTATATTTAAGACTTTTCAAAATCCAAAATTTCGTGGTGCAATACTTTTGGCAATATATATAAACAAAATTTGATTACATAATTTCAATAAAATTTCCTATTTTTGTTTTATTACCAGACTTAAGAATGTCTTTAACTTTGTATTAATTAGTTTCAAATAAACATCAATTTATTCTGGTGATTATGCTGGACAATCCAAAATCCCAACATTATTGCCATCAAGCCACTCAATTGTCTATTTGTTTTGGGTCATTAATTCTGTTGTAAAATAACATCATTCACAGTTAAATCACATCCAAGGAACTTATCTTCCATCAATTTTTACCTCTTCTATATCATTTCAAAACCTTATCAAACTTAACAGTTGGTTTAATATATTATAATTGCAAAGGTAAATTTGGATTCTTCTAATACTATTTCCTTTAATCTAAGTTAAAAATCATAAAATTTACTTTCATTTAATCATACCTCCCTTTTTTAATCTTCTATAATCCAATTATAGTACTTTTGATTAAACTTTTTTTAAGCAATTCTATATCTTTTAAGAACAATAATTTCTTAACTCTAATTACAAAACCTTTTAAGTGTTAAATTATATTAATGCTTTATAGAAAATAAACTTTTTTTGAATTTGAAATATTTATACAACTTTATAAGTTTTATAATATTTTTATTATGATGTTTTATAAGAATCCTAAAATAGGTTGATTTTAAAATATCATCAAAATTACCTGTTTTTTTATTTTTTTTATTTGATTTTAATTATTTATATTTTTACAAAAAGCTATTATATAATTTGAATATTTCTTAAAAAAAATAATAATATCTTTCTTTTAATAAAATAGTATTTCATTATTCTAAAGTAAATCAGTCATTAATAAGGTTACTTGTCAAAACTAGAGGATCTTTTTACTTATTAAAATGCCAAAATGCTAAAAATCAATAAAATTATATTAAACTTTTATTAAAATTTTAATGAAATTTCTAAAATGCTAAAATGGTATAACTAATATGTTAAGACTAAATTGCTTATCTAATTTATTTTAGATTTGGTTAAACATTTAACCCTTTAATTTTGCTAAATTTTTACAAAATATTTAATATTATTTTATTATTTTTATAAGCTTTGATATAGTTTTACCTTTTTTGAATTTTGTAGAATTTTTAATAAGATTTTAATAAAATTTAACTAAGTTTTATCTTTACCATTTAGACATTTAACTAACTTTATATTTTATCTAGCAATCTTAGTTAAGACTGAAGAATTTATAAAAATTTTATTAAAACTAATTGTAAAATTTTAAAGAAACAACCTTATTCATCAATAGTGTGTAAAATATATGTGCACAATGTGCACATGTGCACCTTAATTTTTTGTGTACACATATTACACAATATAAAATATACATAAATTATTATTAAAAATAGATAAATTATATATAAAAAAGGTAATTTTACTTAAGAAAATGTTATGATTTTCTTATTTTAGTAATAATTAATCAATTTATGCACATAAATTTTAACTTAGATTTTATA